TTATAAAGAATAATGCTTGATGCAGAGTGAATAAAGTGTTTGTGTCTAATTTGGGATTTATTGAACAAATAACAAGCCCTTAATAAACACCCAGTGTGTGTTGCTTAAAATAAAGTGTTACTCTGTCACTCTGTACGGCTCTGCTCTCTCTCTCTCTCCCTCTCTCTCTCACACACACAAACACACTCCATCTCTGATGGAGAGAATGAGGGATAACAGCATACGGTCCCAAAGAAAAAAAGAAACTCTAATATCTGTGTGCAAGATGAGGAATCTGGCTCATTTGCAGTATCGTCTTTAATAAAGGCGCGCTGGCGACGTAAATCTTAATTACATTAAGTTTATCTGCAGCCTCCCAGTGGAGCGAGATGAACACGTCTGAGTCTGAATGTCATCTGCTTTATATGAGGCATCACCAAACTGACGGCTCAGAACGGAGAAATTAAATCCAGTTGAGTAAACACGACTTTTAGAGGCAATAAACTTTAAAAAATCAACAAAAATAATGCACTGAAATAACCTGTGTATGGTGTAAAAATAAACACACTGGCTGGGTGACACACATCGTCTACACTCATACACAGTAAGGGCTGCACAGACGAGTCGACTTCACTGCTCAGTGACGACGCTTTAATCTTGAAGTCAACGAGTCGCTGATCACGTGATTATGACACTAACAACAAGGACGCCTCAGAGAAGCCCAGCAGATAAGGAGGCTGGTGATTTAGGGGTCTGTATCTCTGGTTCCCTGAAGGCTAGCAATGCAATCCAGGGCTCGTTGGAAAGGGCAGGTCACGATCTGCTGACCTATGGAGTTTGGCTTCATTTTTACATTTCTACGCCGATCTACAGCAGAGCACGAGTGGAGTCGCAGACGTTTCCTGTCCTCACTCAAAGTGTTTCTGTAATCACTCCGTTCCCGCTCCACACCAGGTTTTCTATTTTTCACTCCTTCACTCACACATCAGAGAATACACTCCGCTTTGTGTCCACTCCCGCTCCATATGATCCTATGATTCTTATGATCTTTATTTTATGCCCTGAACGTATCGACATGACAACACACACTTCATTTCAGGAATTGTAGAAATTATGATTATGAAATGAAAAATTAGTTAAACATTCTGTGCTACACAGGATTTTTTTCAGAAGGTTTAGGCTTGAAGTGACGGCCCAATCACAAGACAAACTGTGTGCGATATCTGTAGTGCTTTGTTGCTGTTGTGCGTGAGCTCTAGCAGTCATGCTGCCACATCTCTCATCATGCAGAGGCAGTCAGCGTCTGTGTTTACATGCAAAGATTTTTGCCAATCTGATTGAATACATTCCGAATACAGATTAAGACTGAGGTGTTTATTCTCACTCTACTCAACAATCTGATGAAAATCTTCATTTACATGCTCACTACAAGTAATCCGATCCAAAATTACCACTTAAAAGTACCGCTTAGTGTAGACGTTACCATGAGAACGAGCATCACAGGAGTCCAGTCAGAGTGAGACGAGCAGCAGTGAGCAGTGCTTGTGTTTTTAATTGCTTTAAAATGATGTCAGTCTCAGGAAAACGTCCTTCACATGTCCTTATTAAAGAAGGCCGAGAGGAAGACGTCGTGTTCTGAGACACATAAGCTGGACGTCCGTCCCACCGCCGTCTTTTAAAGATCAGAGCATAAACTTCGTCTCCTCTGCAGACCAGTTTCTGCTCCGCCATGTTGAACGGTATAAACTCTCACTATGACGTGACGAACATGATCAGAACGGACTTAAACTTTCCGATAGGGAATGTAATTGGATACAGGCGTTTACACGGATATTATTCTTCTATTTAATGGATTATTAACAGGATTACCCACCTCGATCAGTCAGATAGAAACTGTATACCGAATGGCGTTTATATGGACGTATTCTATTCCGATTGAGCTGTTAGTCGGATTATTAACTGATTATTAGGCTGCATGTAAAGGTGGCTAATGTGGAGCAATTTTTGAGGAGGAGAGAACACTGACGCGCCGATTTTCTGAAGAAACGTTCTGCACTCTGACCAAAATCATGCTGCTCCGCTGCCCTCTCTGCTCCCACTCTGCACCACTCACACCCTCTGATCTACAGTGCTTCATAGATCAGATACTGAACTGTATCTCTGGTTTCCTGAAGGCTAGAAATGAGATCCAGGGCTCGTCGGACAATTAATCAACATCAACTCGACTTTCATCAAATTATTTCAGATTTTTCCATCAACATCCCATATAAACTCAGAAGACTCGTGTAGGTTCACTGGTGGTTCTGGATAGTAAATAAAATGTCTATATTTGTGTTGTAGTCATGGCGACCCCTGGTTCCTATCACCACCACTGTAAAGACATCTGTACCAAAAAACTGTTGTTTTTTTTTTTACACTTTGATGATTTAATTGAGCATAAAATTGGAAAAATGAGTGGAATTTCCATTTTAATGGAGCAGCTCCACATGATCCTAAGGTCACCATGCCCAATGCCAAGCATGGGCTAGAGGGGTATAAAGCCCCCCAGCACTGGGCTGTGGAGCAGTGGAACTGTGTTCTCTGGAGTGATGGAGCTCCATCCAATACCTTTGGGATGATTATTGATCCAGAACGGACCATCCAACATCAGTACCTGACCTCACTAATGCACAATCAAATCCTCACAGCAATGTTCCAACATCTAGAAGCCTTTCCAGAAGAGTAGAGGCTGTTACCCGCAGCAAAGGCCTCATTAATACCCTTCATTACAGAAGAAACTCTTTTGACTTTTGGACAGTATGGTATGGATAGAACCTGTCATGCACTAGGAAACAGCATAATATGCTGCCTGGAACATCAGAGCACCGAACTGCATTATTTCTGGCTGTTGTGGCGAGCCGGCCCGCAGGCCTCTCTGATGAGAGACCGGCCGATTCTGACTTTCATCTATATTTCAACACCAGCAGACGCAAAGAGCAGGAAAAAAACAGAGCAGCTGACGCTCTTAAATCCTGTAACATACGAGGCAAACATCCTGGGGCTACACTCAAACGTATCCAACTGTCTGAGGCTGTACAGTCCTCAGGCAGGAGTAATAGCCGAGCACAGATTGCATAGATTAAACGGAAAACGGCACAGTTTTAGGAAGTTTGAGATCCAAAAGGGATTTGGGGTGTAGTGAGGAGTTATGCGGTCAAGCAACTCCTGGAACGCCGTGGAGAATTCAGAACTCGAGGCTCAGAGCTCGATTAGCTTGGTCTCGTTTCTACCATTAGAGTTTCGAAGATGTTAGCATTAGCGTAGCTCGTGGGCTGAAGGCTTTCTGCTGTGCTTGCTAGTAATGGGAGTGTTAAAAACAAAAACTGAGATGTATGAACATGGAAGGAGGTGATCCACTGACTGGAGACACAGTTCTAGTCTGGATTGCACCAGTTTTGCATAAGTTTTTAGGCCTTAAGTCTTTAGCTAACATTGCTTTGTGTCAAACTATCCTAAATTGGGTTGTATCACTCATCTGTTAGTAATGTCTTAGCTAATAACTACTAATTAAGGCATGCAAAGTGACAAACAGTAAACACTGTCAGCTAAAGATGACAACAACCAATCAATAAACACACAGCCATGGAAACGCAAAGCTGATCTTATGTGTTCTATAGAAAAAATATCCAAGTTTCCACAAATTAATTGCATAAAACTAAAAAAATAGATATTTCCAAGTATTAACCAGGTCACTGTGAGGTACTCCAAAGTATTACATAATTATTTTGGGAAATGTGATGGTAAGATCCAAGACAGCTGAGCTAAACTGCACTTAACTGCCCAACAGGTTCTAGATATTGATATTGAGCCGAAAAAGATAACTATTTAAAGAAATAAGGTGGTACAAACAAACTTGCACTAATGCCAGTAAACTGGACATACCTACAAGTAGCAGGTAGTTATATAGGTTAAAATTGTGAGTCTTATGTAGTATTTACTTGTTTATTACCTATAAAAGAAATCTGGGTTATTAAACAGGTTTTACTGGGTTCTATACGTTTTTTCCTGCCTAAACACAAAAAACTTACATTGACATTTATTGTACGTTTGTATTCACCACTTTGTTTCTCCAAATAATTATCCATTTATAAAATATTTTAATATGTAATGTGTCTGCCTTAAATCTAGAACCTATAACACAACCTACAAAATGTAAATAAAAACAGAATGCAATGATGTGCAAATCATTTAAGCCCTACATTTATCTGAAAATAGTGTTCTTGTTACGAGATCACGTCTGGCCCCAAGAGACTATACCTCCTCTGAAACTGCTGCTGTGCTGACGCTTTTTTCCGCCATGGCAAAGTTTAGCAATACCTACCGCATGTTAAATTAGCAAGGCTGTATTTTTAAACGTGTAATTAATTTTACAAACACAGATTAAGTCTCAGACCTAATGTAACGTTCAGTGCCTGCAGTGTGTTTTACTTTGCTTTTATTGAACCTGAGCCTGCTGGAAATCTTCCTGAGCTCTCATTGGTGACTATATTTCTAAATTGAAATTAGAATAGAGTATCTTAGCAATCAGAGATAAGTGGAAGATCATTAACATGTCTCAGTGCACTGCAAAAAACGGTATCGTGCCAAGTAAAATTATCTTAAATGTAGTAAATAAATCTAATATTTCTCCTGTTGAGGTTGTTAAGCGTAATTTACGAGTATTTAACTAATTTCTAGACATGTTTTTACTTGTTTTCAGTAATTTTATTAAGTAAAATTATCTGGCACTATAGTGAGATCATTTTACTTGACAAAATGACCTAAAACAAGTGAAAACATGTCTAGAAATAAGCTAGATAATCTTATAATAAGTGCACAATTATCTCAAAACGAGAAATATTGGATATATTGACTACATTTAAGATAATTTCACTTGACAAGACACCATTTTTTTGCAGCGTGGGATTTGAGGGAAGCATATAAAGTCAACAAAAATGGGGAACAATCACTGACAAAGCTAGTTTTAGCAACATGCTACTTACAGATAGTAAGAGTAGGAATACGCATTTCTTCTGAAGCATCAAGACAAAGCAGTGGGACAGAAAAGAAAAAAGAAACAGCCCCAAAAAAGAACAAACGCATTGATTAGTGATCGGCAAAATCAAACAAAGACAGGTAAGAGGACAATGGAGAAGACTCGGGGGTGCTAAGACTTACTACAGCATTCTTTCAAACATGTTTTAGAGCTGCTTCTTCTCTGGACACTGACTTAGCCTAGCCTGTAAAACAGCATGCGCTTCGGGGAATACTTCACCGCTAACACTGCTAACATTGCTAATAATGAACGAGCCCAGTTAGCGTTATGCAAATGAGGTCATTCTAACTGGTCCCGATCACATTTCCTTTACTGCTGGCTGAAGTGGACGTTTTTATGTGGAGTTTTCTTTGCATCAGTGTTCAGAAAATTAGCCCATTAGTGCTTTATGTGGGCCATTACTGCGTCTAGGCCTGGATCAGTAAATCTGGGGTTTTACTGCAGCGCTATATTGTTAAAAATGGTGCATATGCTGTCTTATCCAATCAGGCCGTGGAACCCTTAGCGGCTATTAAAAACGACTAGCAAACAATAAATCAACACAAAGAAGTGAAACAGCACATCTGGCTCTCGTTCAAGCCTGAAAGTGATGGTGGAGGATGAACATGGAGGAGGAAGATTTGTGTGAGTGTTTGTGCATTAAGATACGGGAGGCTAACAGGCCATGGTGCTATTCGGCTTCGGGACAAATAGAAGACAGAGAGAAACAGAGAGACAGAGAAGCTGAGAGAGTGCAGGTCGGGGGGGGGGGGTCAAAAGGGGCGTCACCCTCTCAACATCTTTCTCGGTTCCTCGGTTTTGGACATGAATTAGTACATTTGCGGATGACACTTTATTCTGAGTGGCACAAACACTCAACGGACTCTCAGTAACATGTCAAATACATACAGGGGTTAGGATTAGGTTTTGGGTTGAGGTTAAGGTTAAGGTTAGGGTTAGGATTAGGTTTAGGCTTAGGCCCAACCACTGACAATACATCTACTGAATGTAAGTAATGTATCAACAGAACATCTCCAAGATATTTACTTCAGTGTATTCAGATGCTTCACTACTGATACTTCACTGATATGTTGTTGATGTGTTACTGATAGTCTGTTAAGAGTTTATAAATGATCTATTAAGGACCACTCAAAATAAAGTATTACCCATTTGCTTTTACTCGTGCCATTACAAACAGCTCCACCAGTGATGTTATACTGTTATATATCAGTAAAGACCACACCCTCCTTGATGTTGATTGGATAAAATATCTTGGTGGATGCACCACTTAATTTGACTGTAGTACTCAAGTCCAGTCTTAGTCTCGAGACTGGTCTTGACCTCACTGGGACTCGGTCTCAGGGTAAGGTGGAAATTGTTGTTGAGACCAGCCGAGTCTGATGCCTCCATCTGAGGTAACTAGAAGCTGAATTATTATTGAATATCAATAAAACCGGAATAAACCGCCTTTTATCTGAGTACTAAAAGTACTAGAAGCAGCCGGAGCTGCAAGACAAACGACAATAAGTTTGAATAGCCATTTAAAATGAGTAATAACAAAGACAACGTTCTTTATTCTGTCATCTGTTGTGCGCATATGACACTGTAATCAATCATTTGTTTAGGTTTTTCATATTTATACACTCTCAGAAATAAAGGTTCTAAACTGTCACTGGGTCAGTTCCCCTCCTGTCACTGGGGTGAAACCCTCAAGGCTCCATCTCAGTACCTTTAGTCAGGGAACATAACTGAACCATAATCCACTGAAATGATATGTTCTAAGCTGTACTGACTCCACACACCCCGTCTCGTCTCCAGGCTTTTATTTTACTGTTCTGTTTAAAACATTCGGTTATGAAAAGGTACAAATATGAACTTTTCACCTGGAAAAACTTATTTAAGGTTCACAATCAGACCTTAAAACCACTGTTGGAGCTTCATGGCAGACTGCATTGCCTATTAGACACATTCGTTTATGTGTTTCTTATGTGGTTCTCATTTTCCAACTGCTGACATGAGCCGCCCTGATGACGCCAACACACCTGCATTTCTACGAACCGGTTGCTTCCAGAGGAACAATGTAACCGAGGCACAGTGGAATAAAGTGCAGTAGATAGACACAATAATAAAACCTACACTGCAAAAATTTGTGCCTTGTCAAGTGAAATGATCTTAAATCTAGTCGATATATATAATATTCCCCATTTTGAGGTGGGTGTGCACATATAAGATTATGTGTCTTATTTCTAGACATTTTTTTTACTTGTTTTATGTAATTTTATCAAGTAAAACGATCTCACTATCGTGGTAGATAATTTTTCTGGATTCAAGCACATTTCTTACAACAAGCACAGTTATCTGCCTTTATAAAATAAAATAAAATCACTTAAAGCAACTAAAAAATGTTTGGAAATAAAACTAATAATCTTAAATTAAGCTTATAACAATCTCAACAGGAGAAATATTGGATTTATTGACTAGATTTAAGATAATATTACTTGAAAATATACCATGTTTTTGCAGTGCAGATGGTCTCAATTAATGGAGACACCCACTGTCTCTCGACACCAGTACAGAAACGCATTTGCAAAGTCAAATGCTAATGTAATGTTTTCTGCTTGGTATCTAAGGACAGTGGTATATATGGAAAAGGCCACTGCAGAGGTGGTGCATGAACTCTGCTGTAGGAGATCTAACAGCCTGCAGAGCTTCACTTCACATAAACACATTAGATCCAGCTCAGTGAGATGCTCAGCAGTTCCTATGGAGAAAATCCAAATGAGCTTCAGACGTGAAACTCTGCACTGTTAAAAGTTCATCTCCGCAAATGATCTTAAATCTGTTTGATATGTCTAATATTTCTCATTCTGATGTGTTTGTAAGCCTGTTGATAATTTAACTTATTTCTAGAAGGTTTCACTTGTTTTTAATTGTTTTTTCTTCTTTCAACAAGCAAAATCTTCTGCCAACAAGACGGTTTCGAAACCACTTAAAACAAGGCAAAATGGCTATAAACAAGTTAAACTGTCTTGTAATATTGTAGCGTTTATTGCTATGAAAGGACACACAGCTTATGCACAAGTTGCTGTGCTTTACTAACGAGCTGTTGTTGGTCACATCTATGCAAGATTTTGCTCTAAACCTGATTTTGTCTTATAATAAGTGTCTTTATATAAAATCTCAACAAATATTTCACTGCTGTCGGAACAAAACCTTGTATCTCCATTTTTGATGTTTTGCATTTTTGACATAATTTGAAAATGCCTGTCGTCCTTTATATTGTATGTAAATTTCATGATGAATGGACCAAAATAAATGACCCAAAATGACTTGGAAAAAATTCTGCTTCCATTGATTTGCATTAAAAGTAAAGTGTGTTTTTTCCTTCTCCTGTAAAGTTACCATTTTGGAGATTTTGGAGATGTGATTTGATTTGGAGATATGATTGAATATGCTACAATATTCATACAACAATCTTAAGAAATGAGAAATATTACATATACTGACTTTGGATGTTCGGATGTTTGGACTGACTTTCAGACGTTTTAACTTTTCTAAGATATCTTTTTGTTGTTGTTTGTTTGCAGGTTGGTACCACCAGTGAACCTACTTCTGAGTGTTACCATGTAATTTTGCTGAAGGTGAAATAGTGATAAATCTGTAAATGTAAGTCTTGAAACTATCATAAAACAGAGTCTCAGTCATCAGGCAGTGAATTCATAACCATAACTTTCTGTGAGGGAGCTTTTAGAGGTGGACGTCTGGTTCCTATCACCACCACTGTGAACAGTTCTGACTCAGTAAGTTTCTCTAGAACTGAACGTTTCTGAACGACTATTACACTGCAAAAAATGGCATTTGGCAATTGAAATGATCTTAAATCTAGTGTAAATGTGTAATATTTCTCAAGTTGAGATTGTTGAAAGTTAATGATGAGACTTAACGTGTCACAGGACACTTTTTACTAATTTTAAGTCATTTTATTGAGCAAAAAGGTCAGATAATTTTGCTTTATTCAGGCAGATTTCTTAAAACAAGCAAAATTTTCTGCCAATATAGTTAATATAGATAAACCTATGTGTTAAATTAATGTAAAACATACAATTACTTTAAAAATGTCCGAAAATGAGTGCAAAACCTATAATAAGCTTACAACAACCTCAACATGAAAAATATTAGATATAATGGCTAAATTCAATGTAACATTTTTTGCAGCATAACCATTTAATTATGCAGACATTTTGCATGAAAGTTTGTGAACCTTTTAGAATTTTCTATATTTCTGATTTTCACAAGTCCTAAAAGTAGATAAAGAGAACCAAATTTTAAAAATGAAACAAAAATATTCGACTTGGTCATTTATTTATGTAGAAATATAGAAAACTAAAGGGTTCACAAACGTTCAAGCACCACTGTAATTAGCAGGGCTGACTTTGGGAGCCAGCCTACAGCCAGGTAGCTCGATCATAACACTAAAAGTTTGCTAAAGGCCTGCGCCGTTTGTGATAAACATCTCTCTGAGCATAATTTATGCATCCGAGTTATGACTTGGCCCACACAGCCGCTAAGCGAAGCCGTGCAGTCAGTTTACTCCTCTAAGCTATAAGCTCCAGCTTTAATACAGACTCCAAACTTGATCCAATAAACAGTCATTAGCCTTCGCCTTGTTTTGTGGCCAAAGTCATAAAGCCAGACTTGGATTTAGGCTTGTCTGGTAAACAGGGTAAGCGAAGAGCTGCGAGAGCTAAAAAGAGAAAAGCTGCGCTTTGCAGTCGGCGGATGAAGCGGCGCCCGCGCCAGGCCGGGGTGTCCATCTCACGCCAATTCATCTCAATGGCCCTTTAAAGAGCCCTGCTGACATTGTTCTTATGATATTAATAAAGGAGAGTGCAGTGGGGAGAGCATGGGCACGAGGAGGCATCCATAAATATTAATAGAGTAAGGAGCTGACAGCCTCGTAAGAGCCTCTATATATATGTCAGTTGTTGTCATGACAAG